AAATGTTAGTGTAGCAAACAAACAATATCAACAGCAAACACCCATGGATGTGACTGGCCTGTATGCAGGAGGTTGGAGTCTCTGAACTAAAGGAGGTACTGCCTCTTGGGAGAAAAAAACCAGTTCCACTAATCCTGTTCTTTGCTGGACTTTCAAGAGAAATCTCACAAAAATGTTCAGGTTGAAGGGAAAGCAAGAATGCCCAAACCGTAATAAGGATCTCAATTATAACCCAGGGAGAGAGATGGGCCCAGATTACATCTGTCTTTGATAACTTCTTCTGCAGAGTGGAGCCTTTGAAATTAATTGGCCAGTCACAAGCCGTGTTTTAATAATGCAACTGTGAACTTTTTGTTATGGAGAGCAGTCCTTACTGGTGCTGACTTTGAGGACTGAGTACATTTTTCATGAGTTCATAGCACTCAAGACTACCAAACCAGCCTCTTCCTGTGTATACCCTGTGCACCAGCAGTGGACACACACAGCCATCAATCCAAGAGGGCAAGCTGGGAGGAGCAAGCTTCCCTCTTCTAAAGAAGAGCCTTCTTAGCAACCACAAGATGCAAATGAGTGATGAGATCAATAGCTCTTATTTTCCCATTCATCTCCAGGAAGGGGCCTTGGGGCTCCCTACTCACTCACTTGGGGTTTCTAAAGATCTATCTTCATGGGTCTGGTGGCTGGACACAGGGAAAGTACTGACTTCTTTCTCAGGCTGTCTTAGGAAGCAAACTCAGTTTCCTTGTTTTCTGAAGCATGTCCCGCACATTCTAATCCACATGGATCCCCTCTATTCTCTAAACTCCTGTAATAATCATCATGGGAAAAAAATAGAAAAATCACTTAAAACCTGCTTTTTTAAACAAATATTTATTTGAGAAGCAGAGTTACAGAGAAACAGAGAGATCTTCCATCTGCTGGTTTACTCCCCAAATGGCCACAACAGCTGGAACTGGGCCAATCCAAGCCAGGGGCCAGGAGCTTCTTCTGGTTTCCCATGTGGATGCAGGGACCCAAGCACTTGGGCCATCTTCCACTGCTTGCCTATGCCATTAGCAGGGAGCTGGATCAGAAGTGGAGCAGCGGGGACTCGAACTGGCACCCCTATGGGATGTCAGTGCCATAGGCAGAGGCTTAACCTACTACACCAGGGCACCAACCTCTGAAGCCTGCCTTTCTTCCCCATTTCTTTACATTGGAAGTGCAGGGACAGGAGAAGGTCTGACAGTTACTTGCAGGGCCACGTTAGTATGTGAAGGAAGCAGAGGAAGAAGGGAGGACGGTCACAGGATTGTCAAGTGGTGTCTACGCTGTAACAGGGTGAGAGGAAAAGCTCCGAGAACCCTCCCTGCGCTTCCCTGTGTCCCAGGGGAGGTAGCTGCACACACTCCTGAGGGCCCCGTGCTGTCTTGCACGTGACTCCCTACAGCAGTCATCACCCTCAGTTGAGATTACCTGTGTGCGTGTGTCACCCCCACTGGCCTGAGATCTGTGAGAACAAGGATGAATGTTGCTCACAGGTTTGTCCAGAGTGGGCAGTATGCATCCTGAATGCTCAGTGAACGCTTGTTGAACGAATGCTTGAACAAATGAATGCAAGTGCCATGTAAATTAGTCTTCTGAAACATGATATTGAGAAATGAATGAATATGCTAGATATTCAGAAATGATTTAAAAAATAATGCTGTCCTTCCATAATTTAACAGACTTGGGGCATAATGATGCCAAGAATCATGGGAAGAGTGACAAATACAGGATGTCAGTCCAGTAAAGAAATTACGGTCAACTGAACATTTTGCAAACTCTGTTGTATTGACAGTACACCTATTAATCACTACCTTCATTAGAGTTTATCATCATTTGCAGAGATAGGGAGCAGGGGAAAGCAACTGGCTATAAAAAAAGATTTCCAATCATTTTGGGTAGCTAATCAGTAGTGGTCTGGTGCCTATTGGTGGGATTCCTCAGGTTATGTGCATGTGTGGGACCTATTTCCCTCTTCATTAAGGGATAATTGATTGAGGTTAGAAGATTGGAGAGTCCTGGGAGATTTTTAATCCTGTGCCATCATGCAACGCTTGCTACATCAATAAGACAGTTCCATGGGGGAATGAGGAGCAATTGAGATGCCACACCAGCTGGAATCCAGATGAAGATACATTTGGAAGCTTAATCACAATCATGTTCTACACTAAATATTCATCTCTCTGTCTCCCAAAGAGGACAGGAAATTAAGTTGTCAAGGGCAGGGGGGATGAGGGTTAGCTAAAAGAAGAAACCCACACCTTCGTCTTAATCTCGAAGTATGCGAGGCTGCCTTCCGTAGGGGAAGCCAAAGCTCTCCTCTCCAGTTTTATTTCCTGAGAAATATCTGAGCTGTTTATCTACAATTTATCAGTTTTACAGTTACCAAAATGGACTGTTAGGATAATTCAGGCTCCTCACAGTGGGATAAATACAGATGAGCAATGCCATCTCCATAGGAAGATGCTTTATTGAGCCAATATTGAAAAGTATTAAAGTTGTGTCAACACGCAGGAAAGAGCAGGGGAATTCCTAAACAGAGCTGACGGGTCGTGATCGCACATGCTTCGGTGCACGCATCCCGAAATTTGGACTGAGCTCTGAATAAAATCAGCAGGAATCACCGGGCAGACTGTGGGTTTTCTTTCCTTTTGGTTTAATTTCCAAATTAAACTGTATATGGTCCCATCTCAGTGACCCCGTCGCATTTACATTTCATTTCAAATGGTGATTTGAAAAGTTTCTGTTGCTGCCAGAAATTAAACGACAGATTCCTGTGAAATCCTGGCCCACCAGTGTGAATCCAACTTTGGCTTCTGATAAAAATGAAGTGCAGTGTCATAGTCGTGTGAGGACCTGGCATTAGGTAGGATGCCTTTGGCTGCAAATAATAGAACAGTCCTCCATCTGATTTAGTTTTAATAAGCAATGTACCCCTGCACACAATGAGGAGTCCTTAGGGAGAGAAAGCTATAGGTGCAAACTGTTAGGGTTCCTGCCGTGTCTGTGTGGCTCTCTTGGTGCCCTCTAGGCGGATCTGAGATGTGTGTGGGTTGTCCCAGCCATCACCTCGTTACAGTTCAGTCTCCATCAGAACAAGGGATCTTGTCTTCTTAGTGCCTTTCTCTCAAGAAGGTGTTTATATTCCCTAGATACCCACCAGCTGACTTGTGCTCACTCTAAACCTGCCTGAGTCAGCCATCTTTGCTTGGAGGTGGTGGAAGGACCACGCCCATTCTCTCCACTCCTTCTGCAACATAGGCAAGGCGGGGCTACCAGAGACACCACTGAATTCACATGGGGCAGTGGAAAGAACACAGGCTGTGGAGCCAGGCACTCCTGTATGTGAATCCCATCTCCATGTCTACATAGCTATGCGACCCTGGCAGATCACTGGACCTCCGTGAGCTTCGCTGGCCCATGGGTATAATGTGGATATGAGACCTGAACCCACAGACAGCCTGTGAAAATGAGAGCAAGGAGCCAAGGGCAGGCACTGCTCAATCCTGTTCCTGTTCCACATGTACCTTTTCATGGAGTGGGTCTCGGCACTAGCTTGCTAATTATCGCACTTTCTTTTTGCTAGGTACAGATATCCATTTTGTAACCATCCTCTGATTGACATGTGTGATATAAAGGAAAATTTAGTTCAATGTGTATGTAGCTGTCTTTTATATGAATGTATGATACTCATATATACAAGGGTGCTACTTCAAAAAGTTTGTGGAAAAGGGAATTAAAAGATAAGTTTATTTGGTGTAAAAAATATTTGAAATCCATGCAGTTATTGTCCATGATTTTTTCTCTTCTTATTTAAAAAGCAGAGAGAGAGAGAATATTTTTTTTTTTTTTTTGGACAGGCAGAGTTAGACAGTGAGAGAGAGAGACAGAGAGAAAGGTCTTCCTTCCGTTGGTTCACCCTCCAAGTGGCCGCTACGGTAGGCACACTGCGCCGATCCAAAGCCAGGAGCCAGGTGCTTCCTCCTGGTCTCCCAGGCGGGTGCAGGGCCCAAGCACTTGGGCCATCCTCCACTGCCTTCCTAGGCCACAGCAGAGAGCTGGACTGGAAGAAGAGCAACCGGGACAGAATCCGGTGCCCCAACCGGGACTAGAACCTGGGGTGCCAGCGCCGCAGCCAGAGGATTAGCCTAGTGAGCCGCGGCACCAGCCGAGAATATCTTTTATCCACTGGTTCACTCTTCAAATGCCTATAACAGCCAGGGCTGAGCCAGACCAAAGCCAGGAGCTCAGAACTTCATCTAGGGGACCCCTTGTGGAGGGACCCAAGTACTCCAGCAATTGTCTTCTGCCTCCCAAAGTGTGTATCAGCAAGAAGCTGGATCAGAAGCAGAGTAGCCAGGAATCGAACCAAGCACTCTAATAAGGAATGTGGGCATCCCAGGAGCAGACTTAAACTGCTATGCCAAATGTCTGTTCCTCCATTAACTTTCTGAATGTCTCATATGTAGAGATTTCAAAAATTGTTTGCACCAAAAATAAACTTACCTTTTAACTCTTACGCATTATTTTTGAAATGCCCCCATAAGTAGATCTGTATAGTTATACAGAAATCCTCAGTCAACAGTTCACATAGTGGAGAGATAGCTGTGTTCCACATTGTGTCAGGTGTTCCTGGTGTTCAAAGTGGTGGCCCACAGACCAGCACCAATTGGCCACCTTTGTGTTCCTGGACCGTGATAAGTATCGAAATGGAAAGTAAGCATTTTGGTACAATTACAGTCATTTGACACTGCTGAGACATCTGAGCCAAGTACATTTTCCTACGGCTTTGTTTTTGTTATATTCTACAGAAGTAGTATGCACGATAGATCGGGAATTTAAAAGAATGGAAAGAAAAAGGGAAAAGCACCAACCCAGGCCCTCTCTGGTCATTTGGACCTTGGCTCGGGTGGCTCTCGGCCTTTTGGCTAAGATCAAGTGCAGGTGGAATCACAAATCAAAGCTGCCCCCCTGCCTTTCAGGTGCAAAGGTTTTATTCGGCGTGAGAAGCGATGATTACATAAAGTTGTTGTACAACAGTGCAAACACAATCGTGAGAAATACTGCGATCAGGCAGCCGTAAATGGGCAAGCGCCACATCAGGGGCTGCGAGGAGAGCACTTGCCACAGACGTCTGTAGGGCGAGGTCGCTGTGCGGGCCGAGTCTTCCTTAAGCAGGTGGATTTGTTTTGATTTCGACGGCATCTTGGGCCTCTTGTCAGGGCCTGCGCCTGCTCTTTCCCTTCTCATTTGGCAGCCTGACGGGTTAATCCCCTGGTGAGCGAGGGCCTGCGAATGAAACTGGATGGAGTTATATGTCAGACTGCAACAGGCGCGCTCTGAATATCCCGCTCTGTTCTCCTGGACGGGGCTTTGATGTTAGCGTGGAACACGTCAGATTACACGGGACGGCATGTCATGTGTCAACTCAGGGTTGGGGCTCTGTCCTGACACTTTAATTAGGGGGGCTGGAAGGAAAGGGTGTGTTATTTTTTCTATTTCAAGGCAGAGACCCTAACTCCCACTGAGTACTGTTTGGGTATAACCAAGCCTGAAAACAGCCTTCTCTCCTTCTAAAAACACAGCTCGTACCCACTGAGATAACAGCCATAGTGTCACCTAAGGAAAAGAGCCGGGGCCACGAGAGGTAAAGCTTCTCTGGACTGCAGCTGCGGGGAACCCCCTGTGTGAGGTGCCCACGGCCCCGACAGGCTTCATTTTCAGCCGTGCACACGCTTATCACTTATTGTCTTTGCAGCTTTCTCCGTGTTACCACGGAGCTGCTCGTGCTTCTGCGTGGCTCCTGGGAGTCCGAGGCTACTTCAGAAAGTTCTGGAAAAATGGAGGTCAAAGGTTATTTTGGTGCAGAAAACCTTGCAAAATACACACTTGCCCTGAACTTGATGAAGACCCCTCCTATTAGCTGTTGACGCTAAGACCATGATGTCCATGACATGGCCTCACATGCAGTGAAAGATGGAGCTGCAGGAGGGATAGGGGACAAGGGGAGCTACAGTTGGAGACCTCCATTATCCCATTTTGCCCCACACCTGAAAACACCCTGTTCTGCCTGTCCCACCATAAACCAAGTGTGAGTGCTGGAGTTCTAAGATATCTTCATCTTCCACCCAGAAAAACGTCTAGGCAGGACCAAAGCTCTTTGCACTTGTGAACGTGGCCTTGGTAATAGGAAACCTGCACTTTGCTCTCTGCCCCCGGAAGGAGGTCGTCCAACTTAATACCTAGTGAAATCGCTGAACGTCAGTAAGCCCCATTCATTCTGACATCTAGACTCCTGTGTAATTAAGACCTCAGGTCTGGCGCTTGGTTTATCAGTGTGTGTCGATTCTCATTTACATAAGACTTGGGTTTTTCCCACATCTCTGCACAGACACTGCCAAAAAAAAAAAAAAAAATACTGTTAACAATGAGAGAGCTGAGGATAGAGTTACGGCCCTTCGTGTCTCTAATCCCTGCTTAACATTTCCTCTAAAAAGAACATTGCCCTGTTCCGAAATCAAACGCTCTGCGCTCTGGCGTTCTTTACGGAGGGAGAGGGGAGGTAGGTTTTCCACTGCTTTATTTGGAGCTTGAAAAACATCCGATTTCATGCCCCTTATTGGGCTGGGAAGCTGAGTCTGCTGCACAATGGGAGGGTGGATTCTTCATCTGCCTTTCACAAAGAAGCACAGCTCAGGCTCTTCCACCTCCCTGCTGCTCCAAGCTAAACACGGAGGCTGGCCCCAGGGATTCCCCTAGGTGGGCTCACCTAATTTTCTTTGTTCAAACTGAAGGCCCTTGGGTGTAATTGAATCCTACAAAAGCGGAAAGTGACTCCTGGGGCTGCTGGAAACTGTCCCCTCCCCCGGCCCCACTTCAGAGCTTCCTCCAGGGTGAAACTAAGGGGACCCCCACCCCCTTCGGGATGCCACCTTTTCTGCTCACATTCACAACTGCAAGGCGTAGGGGTTTATTTTTGCAACTCCAATGAGGAAAGCCGGATTCTAGAGGTGTGGGTACTTCCACAAGACCACACATGGAGTCAGTTATGGGACTTGGGAAATCGCACGGCCTCTGTTGGTCTTCATTTCATTTCACGTGGCTGAAATGTGCTCATGTATAAAATTAGGGATGAGGAAAGCAGTCTTATTAAAAAAGAAAGAAAAAAAAAAAAGAGGCACAGGAGGTCCTGGTGTTTACCTACCAGGACTGTAGACCCTAAGGTGTGTGTTTTAAGTATAAAGCCCTCACGCAAGGGAGGGAACTTGGGGTTACTCTCAAGGAGCCTCCCATTCCATCGCTAACACTTAGTGCTATATGACCCTGGGAAAGTCACAATACCTCTCTGGGCCTCAGATGCCTCATCTTGGAAATAGATAATATTATAATATGATATTATAATAGATAATATTATAATATACTATTATAATAAAATAGATAATTTTGTAGTGTGGCTGTGAAGATTTCATGAAGATTTCATGCAATAATGCTTAGAAAGTACTTAGGGCCGGCGCCGCAGCTCACTAGGCTAATCCTCTGCCTTTCGGCGCCAGCACACCAGGTTCTAGTCCCGGTCGGGGTGCCGGATTCTGTCCCGGTTGCCCCTCTTCCAGGCCAGCTCTCTGCTGTGGCCAGGGAGTGCAGTGGAGGATGGCCCAAGTACTTGGGCCCTACACCCCATGGGAGACCAGGAGAAGCACCAGGCTCCTGCCATTGGATCAGCGCAGTGCGCCGGCCGCAGTGGCCATTGGAGGGTGAACCAACGGAAAAGGAAGACCTTTCTCTCTGTCTCTCTCTCTATCCACTCTGCCTGTCAAAAAAAAAAAAAAAAAAGTACTTAGAAGAGTGACTGACATGAAGCTGGCACTCAAGGTTGCCTGTTAGTAGTAGTGTTAGCATTACCACTACAAAGATCGGTATTTCTCAAGAGTGTCCCCTGCTGAGAGAGAGGAAGACAGTGATTGTCTCCCCACTAGCACCAGGTGCCCCCTTCAATATCTGTCCAATCCTAGAAGTCCTGGCAGTCTTGGACAGCCTCCAAGAATGTAGGTCCCTGTATCTCAGCCTCAGTTGGCAGAAGAATTATCTCAGGAATCCTAAATAATACTGGTGGTTGGGCCCTGTGCCACAGATTGTGATTAAATCGATGTACAATACAGCGAGGCATCAAGTCTTTTCAATGCTAGTCACTAAAGGTTAGTGGGTGGCCTGTTAATTTTGATATTGAACAAAGCCCTAGAATATGTATGTTATAAGTTATTGTTTCCCAAGTATGCTGTTTACCACTGGTGTCATGTGAGATCCTATTACTGATTTATTTATACATTAATAGTCCTACAACTATTTTCATGTGAATTAGGAAAAATCCAACTAGTGTGTCAACTCTGATTTCACAGGTAATTTTTTTTAGGTTGAAATTTCTCTTTCTTCTTTTTTTTTAATATATCTATTTGAGAGGCAGAAAGACTGAGAAATAGAGAAAAAGCTCACTTCCCAAATGCCCACAATGGCCCCAGCGGGGCAGACCACAGCCAGGAACCTAGCATACAATCCAGGGCTCCTATGTGGGTGGTAGGAACTCAGTTATTACAACTTAGTCACCTACCTCCCAAGGTCCACATTAATGGGAACTTGGAATAGGGAACCAGAGCTGGGTATCAAACCCAGGCACTCTGGTAAGGGACAAGGGCGTCTTACAGACATATTAAATGCCTCTCCCAAAGTTTCTTTATGAAAACAGCCAAGTGTGGTGGGAATACATGTTATATTTAAACAAAATATCAAGTGACACATTTATAGTTTAAAAAATTACATTGACACATAAATGACTAAAGTTTGAAAAATGTGATGGGACCTGAATAGGATTACAATTATAATTGAGTAAATGTGATCATTCTAAATAATAATTTTTCAGCCATTGTAAAATTTTGAGCATTGAAAAATAAAGGTAGATTTTTGAAATGCAGTGAAATTCTAACCTATCAAACAAATTGTTTCTAATAACTTATTTTCAGGATACAGAGATTTAAAAAAATTAACCCATATTTACTCAGAACCATATATATTTTGAATATATCGACATAGTTGATGACATCCTGCATTTTCATAACACTTTAGCATTGACAGAGCACTTAAGCATTATTTAACTGGGCCTCCAATAACTTGCCGAGATTGGACTACTAACCGATTGTCGCACATGGGACCGATGAGGATTAGTAGAGTGGCCTATCCCCAGTTACACAGCCGCAGTGTGCTGGTGCAGGACTGGAACTACATCATCTCAATCCAAGGTGGTGGTATTTTTTCTCCCACCGCTTCTGCTGTTCTCATCCATACTGCCTGCCGGCTCTTGCATATTAACTAATAACTCCCTCCAGGGCTTGTCTCGCTGTGTGACAAAGGAAAACCACCTGATAACCTCTTCGCAGGTCTCTTCAGTTATGCTCTTGACCATCTGCAGTTTTTTTCTCCAGACATTAACCTAGGTTCTCATGGCTGTCAATCAGTCATGACAGTCCTTACTGAAATCTGCCATGGCTGCCCAACTTGCATGCATAAATGCATAGCCCTGCTCCCTTGACCCCTGTCTCCCAGCTCCTGCTGCTCTCTGTTCTTGTTCCCTGGGCCCCAGCCAGCCATACCTCCTCTGGATTCCTCAACCAAGTCAGGCATCTGTGATTTCAAGCCTACACCATGTTGTTGCCTGCAGCAAGAAAGTTCTCTCGTGCCTTCTCTCTCCCTCGCTCTCACTGCCAAGAAACCTAGCCTCAGTATTACCTCCACAGACTGCAGTCGGCTGACCTCTGCCTTAGATGAGGTCCCACTCATTGTTCTATCATGCAGACAATAGCTCTTTCCTTCCTAGCTAGTACTTATTCATTGGTGTGATGGTCTGTTTCAGGTCTACCAGATGTATGCTACATGAGCACAAAGGTGGAATCATCCCCATATCTATCCACACTAGCCCCAAACCATAGAACAGTACTTAGCACATGGTAAGTCAACAAATATTAGCCAAGAAAAGGCTGAGGAATAGCTTACCCTCTACAAGGATGGGGTGGAATTTTCCTACTCACATTGATGGCAAGTCAAAAGATAGAAAGTTCTTGCAAGAGGCTGGTCAGGGCCATCTGCAACCACAACACTCAGAATCTACTACCTACACCCGACTAGTACTGCTACCATGCTGGATGCTCTAGACAGGAAATGTGAACCTGTCAATGACCTTCCAAGCTCCTTTTTAAAGGAGAACCTAAACCCAGGGTGGATTGCCCCGAGCCCTGCCTGCC